ACCTCTTTGATCTCATGATTTTTTCCCCTATGAATTTCCCCTAATGATGTTCCCTAATGATTCCTTATATGTTGGGTATCTGTATTTGGGGGATGGTGTGTCCTCCAAGAAAACTGGGTTCAAAAGTAAAACATTAAACACAAAAACTTGGGGGGGGTGCTGGCGCTTCATTTCTAAAGCGTTTCTAAAATGTAGTTATGAAAAAATCCTTACTATAACAAGAGTAATGAAATTTTGTTACTATTTGATTGTTGTAATTGTGCATAATTACTATAGTTGGGGAAACTTCAGGGGCTCCTTTCTCCCTCATTTTTAAAGATATTTAAGTGAAACTTCCTACAATGGTAAAACACATTTACCACTATTAGCCCACCAAATTTCACTTATGAATGTTTCACTTATCCATGGATTTTTGGGGAATTTTCAAAGTTTGCATAAACAATATTTTAAAAAAACTACAAGAGCTATCTACTTGAATTTTATATAGAATGCAGAAGATAATCAGGGCATCAGTCCCAGAAGTTTCAGAAAGATTTACAGATCTACAGATTTTGTAGAATTTTTAAAATTTTAGACAAAAACAATTTATCTCCCCAAAATGCGACAACATCAATTCCCTTGAATGTCTGTATGTCTTTATGACACACAACCACGTAACTTCAACTTAGCACAGATTTATACTATTATTTACTTACTTTAATCCTCTTTGCAGATTCAATAATTTTATTTATTATTATTAGACTGACTCTAAATGGCTGGCTGCAGCCCTCATTAGAGCTTTCAGATGCTGAGCATTGCATTCTGGGAAATGTAGTTTAGGGCAGGGCCTTTTGCATTCTCTGCCACATGGGACCTCGCCTTCCCAAACTACATTTAAGATGGCTCTGTTCTCAGTCCCCTGCCCATTAACTTTAGTCCCACCCCCAGTGCCTTCCTTATGGTGACTGGGCAAAAAAAAAGGATTGTTTTTTAAAGCACTTTTTGTTTTTTTGACTTTACCAAAATTGCTTAATGCTTATGTTAAAAATTAAACTGACCTTGGGAGGTATCTGAATGTTACAGAATCCTAACAAAAATTATTGGTGAGTGTTTCAATTTCTAACCTCCCACCACACCTACACACACCTTTCCTGTTTGCTACTTTTTCATGCATTTTTATTGAAAGTTAGGTATGGAGCCCCCGGTGGTGCAGTGGGTTAAACCCCTGTGCCGGGCAGAACTAAAGACCGACAGGTCGCAGGTTCGAATCCGGGGAGAGGCGGATGAGCTCCCTCTATCAGCTCCAGCTCCTTATGCGGGGACATGAGAGAAGCCTCCCACAAGGATTATAAAAACATCAAATCATCCAGGCGTCCACTGGGCAACGTCCTTGCAGACGCCCAATTCTCTCACACCAGAAGTGACTTGCAGTTTCTCAAGTTGCTTCTGACATGACAAAAAAATTGAAATTTAGGTTCAAACAATTCTAATTTTAAACTAAGTAAATACAGGTAACCAATACAAAAAGAAGAAAAAGGGAAGAAAATAAAAAAGTGTTATTTCAATTTGACTTCCATCTACTTCTTGGTGATGGTCACAAAGCATAAAATATTTTCTTATAACATTTAATCTTTGTATTCCTTCATATTTCCCCTGCTTTACTATGACTTATTAGACAAACAGCAAAATTCTTATAAACCAACGTACAAAAAAAGACATGCTATTTCCCTTAATTATATTAGTATTCTCATCTTTTCTTTTCTAAAATATTATTTTACTATTTGAGATTTTCTTCTTCCTCGGTGCATTGTCATCAAATAATTCAGTCTGTCCATATTCATAAATTCCATCAATTTCAAAGACCATTGGTCCACTGTAGGCATCTCTCGATTTCTCCAGCACCTGGCATATGCTATTCTAGCTGCTGTTGCCATATGGCTAAACAAGGGTTCTTTGTCTTTTCCCTTTTCCCAGTCCAACATCCCAAATAGGTCATATTTTGGATCAAATTTAAAGTTTATTTGTAATTTTTTGTATTCTATCTCCAGAATTTCCTTGCTTTGTCACATGTCCACCAGATGTAGAAAGAAATGCCCACTTGCTCCCCACATTTCCAACATTTATTTGACATAGTTTTGTAACATTTCTTTAAGGTCTGATGCATAGGTAAATTTAATTTTTTTTACTTCAAATTATTTCACATTCCTCTAATTTTATAACAGAGCCTACATTCGAGACCCATTTTCACCATACAATCTTTAATTTGTTACATTTTTGTTGCCCATTCTAACATTAAGTCATTTATATTAATATTACCTTATCCCAGAAAAAGTCTTTTTCTGTGAATCCAATTTTGCTGTCCACCTTGAAATGTTCCCTCATCTGGTTATATTGAAACCATGAGACATTTTTGAACTTTAGACTTATATCCTCTTGTTTTCTTAATTCATATTTGCCATTTATTTTTAATAAAGTACCTTTGTAGGTTGGCCATGCTTCTCCACCTAACTCTCTTTTTTGACATACTTCCAATTAAGATATCCACATTGGAGTCTTCAAATAAAGTCTATCTTTGTATCTCTCCCAGACCTTTATCAAAGAAGATCGAATAAAATTATTCCCTATTTTTTTCTATTTTCCTCTTTCCATACCAAATGTATGAATGCCGCCCTCTTCTTAGATCAAAACCCTCCAGTGCTAGAATCCTTGGCCTTTGTAATGTCATCCAATCCTTCACCTGGGTTAAACAACAGGCTTCATAATAAATCCTTAGGTCTGGGAGTCCAAAATCTCCCTTTTTTTCATCCACCATATTTAGCCTCTTTATTCTAGGTTTCTTCCCCTGCCATATGAATTTTGCTAAATCATTATTCCAATTACAAAAAGTTTTCATCTTTCTTATTATAGGGAGGTTTTGAAAGAGGTAAAGCATCTTTGATAAAATTGTCATTTTGATTGCACTATGCTTCCTAAGAGGGATAGATTCAAGTGTTTCCAATTTTCCAATTTCTTCTTAATTTCTGACCATTTATATTCATAATTGTTTTTTAAAAGTTTGAAGTTTTTTGCCATTATAATCAGTCCTAGGTATTTTATTTTATTTACTACCTGTATGTCTGCTTTATTTGCCAGCTCTTCCTGTCTTGTTTTTGACATATTCTTCATTAATACCATTGTTTTGCTTTGTTTATTTTAAGTCCTGAGAGTCTTCCAAACTCTTCAATTTTTTTTCAACCAATGTCTTATCTTCTTGATTGGGTTTTCTACAATACAGATCAGGTCATCTGCAAATGCCTTATATTTGTTTTTACCAATTTTTGTTCCTTTTAAGTCCTTATAATTTCTTATTGTGTTTAATATTATTTCCATTGCAAATATGAAAATAAGTGGGGATAGGGGACATGCCTTTTGCTATTTTAAAAATTTTGGAATCTATTTTTTTTTTTGCTTCTTTGTGGCTATGGATCTATAGCGTTCATAAAATGATATCCTAAATCAATTTCCTTCATTAACATTTGAAAGAAATCCCAATTAAGACTATCAAAAGCTTTTTCAATATCCAAGGCTAAAAATGCCATTTCTTTTTTATTATTAGATTCATAAAATTCTATCGATTATATTTCTTACATTATCATTTGGTGTTTTGGAAGCAATCCCATTTGTTCCTCTTTTATCCATAAATTTAAGAAATTTTTCAGTGTCTCTGCCAAGATGTTTGTAAAGCTTTTATAGTCCATGTTCAATAATGAAATGGGTCTGTGGTTTTTAACATCTCTAGGGTCCTGACCTTCCTTATGGATCATTATTATTATAGCAAATTTCCATGAGTTTTCTTACCATCTTCTGTTGGTCTAAAATTGAATTCATTAATTTTTAAAGAGAAACTATAATTTCTTCTTCAAAAACCCTAGAATAGAGGGCTGTAAGTCCATCCGGACAAGGAGCTTTGTTTGGCTCCATCTTTCTGATTGCATATTGAATCTCATTATCGCTTATATATCTTCACTCTGCTGGTCAGTAATTTTTTTGTAATTTCTGATTACTTAAAAATTTAACGATGTCATCCTTCTTTATTTGATCTTTGGTGCAGAGTTTATTATAGAAGTTATTAAATTGATTTGCTATTCCTGCGTCGGTTGTATAATGTTTCTCCTTTACCAGGATCGCCGTTATAAATTGAGATTGCCTTTTTTTCCTGATTCTCCTTGAGAGCCTGATTCTCCTTGAGAACTTGTTTCTAATATTGATTCTTGTGCACAAATTTAATGAATTTGATCTGAAATATGAATTAGAAAAAAAACATTATGCATAACCCTAATATCTATCTATGTATGTATTTTCCAAGATGGCTCCCACTTCCAGAGAGCACTCTGAACCACACTAGCGATTGATCTGGACCAAACTTGGCACACACACATCATGACTAACAGAAAATACTGGAGGGGCTTGGGAGGGAGTTGACCCTGGATGATGGGAATTGCAATCCATCCACATTCAGAGAGCTCACATCTGAATGTGATGGCGGCGCTCACGTCGGTGTGAGCCCCACCGATGATGAATCTGGACCCATCATGACAAACTTGAGCTTCTTGTGCAGTTTAATAACAAGGAAAGCTTTAGTTTAACCACATCCTTATGCATTTTCTAATGGGATCATTTATGCGATCCAAAAACAAACAATGACTATTTCTAATAAATAGCATTTCAAAATACCTCACCTGAGCATCGCTGTATACCTAGGCTAGTCTACCATAAAGCTGATCCATGTAGGTAAGAGATGTATTTTCATGAGAACACTTTGTGAGGAGTGAGTGAAAAAATTGCAACTTTATCACTCTATGTGTGAAGAACAATTATAGCTATTTTGTTTTCTAGTGAAATGTTCTGTGTTTTATATTCTCACAGGAAGGCAGGATATGAAACTGGTCTGAAAAATGTGGCATATCCTCCTGAAATCCTTTGTGAAGTAACTAAGATATAACACCTGGATAGGCCACTCACACATCTTTTTGTACTTTCAGGCTTGGATGAAGAAGGAAGCCTCTATGTCTTTAAGGAGGACCACATTATTGAGTTTGATGGACAAATGACAGCAGATGTCTTGGTAGAATTTCTCTTAGACGTAAGTGTACACAAAGTCTGAATAAATATTAAATTTAGTTTTCCAGGAGAAACAATGTATTAAATTGTAATCTTTGTAGCTTTGATCACGTAGCATTACTGTTACACACTCAGACAGCCTATGATATGATATCATGTATCATATAATCTGGACCATACATTGTAAATGGAAAGATGCTTATTTAAGACATTCTTCAGAGGATAATGATTATTCATAGATCAAAAGATCAAGTTGATTTTAAACTTAATTACCTAACTTACCTCCAAGAGAACTAATTCCCTTGATTAAGCTAGGTAATTAAGTTTAAAATCAACTTGAGTTAGTTGGTGTTACTTATTCAAGAATCTTTTACTGACATTGAGAAAAAATAACCTACCTCCCTCTGGGCAAACTTGCAGCATCATAGCACAATATCATTCATGGATATGGGGGTTGGAGTGGGCTGTCATCATTATTGATAAACCTAAGTTCCATGTGTTTTCCCAAGCCACATCTAAAAGACAGTAGAGTCAGGCTTCTTCTACACTACCATATAATCCAGATTATCTGATTTGAATGGGATTATATGGTAGTGTAATCTCATATAATCCAGTTCAAGCAGATAATGTGATTATATGGCAGTGTAGAAGGGGCCCAAGATGGGGCCTCACTCACCATCTATATTTTTTGTGGCAGTGAATTTCATAAGTTTACTATACTAACATGGCTAACACCAAATGGTGAAAAGAACCAATCCATGGAAGGTATTAGCAATTCCACCCTCTTTAACTCTTTTTATAAGAAAACTGTTAGGAACACTTGGCAGTAACTGCATCATTAAAACTGCAGCAATGGGAATAGATGGAAGAAGAAAAGAGATGGACTGTTTACTGTACATAAACATAGGATGTAGATTTTAGATATGTAAATGGGTTAGGAACAGATAGAAAAGTACAGACCAGTGAATCAGATGGTTCGTTTCATATCATATCAGGCTAAACAAATAAGCAAACCCCTCCATTCATGTTTTAATACCTTGTTGTTCTTGATTGAACTTCTTCATGACAGTTGATGGAAGACCCAGTGGAGATTATCAACAGCAAGCTGGAGTTGCAGGCTTTTGACCACATGGAAGAGGAGATGAGACTTATTGGCTACTTCAAAGGAGAAGATTCAGAACGTGGGTTTTTGTCACTTGTTCCTGAGTCTCATTGTAATCTGAAAGGGGCTGGGTAAAAGAACTTTTTTCATTCACACACTGTTTCAGGCATGGTGACAAAGTTCTCATTTCACTTTTGAAGGTATTAATATATATTGAGATCTCTCCAACCTCATCTCTAGTTTGAAAATATGAACTGGTGTTTAATTTATCCGTTTATTAAATGTTCAATTCAGCGACACTGGATGTTAAATAGACCAATTTAGAAGCAGTTTCAAAACTTAAATATATTTGGCAGACACGCACTCCAGTGGGGTCCACAATGAATTTTCTGTTGTTGATCAGTTATATAACAAGGGGGCTTTTGAGCCTTTTAAGTAGGTGCTGCTTACTCTTTTAATTGCCCTAATTCATATCTACTTGGTAAAAATGCCAGATGGAAATAGGTGTACATTTTTCGGTTCATATGGGCTTTCATAATTTTGGACAAGCATATATTTTGAATCCAGAAAAGACAAGGACCCCACTCTTCCAGATGTAGATACAACCAGTTTCAAAGCATTGAGCCAAGGCAATTAAAGTGGTGTCAAACGGCATTCGTTCCGCAGTGTAGATGCAAGCTTTAGAACTTTAGTAGGCTTAAGAACTTTGCCACATCTATCCTAGCTTTCAATGTATTAGTTGCTCTGTATGAACCTGCCTTTCTGAGAGTTTGGATTTTTATGCTCCTGAAACATTTAAGATTTCCCTTTAGGCAATAGTTAGGTTGCTATCTCCATTAACTTATAGTCATTGTCCCTTTTGCTGAAGAAATCACAAATAATAATATTTGAATCCTGCATATTCACAAAATATATTCCTCAACTCTGGAGTTGGTTTTAAAATGAATGTAAAACCACATTTAAAATTATTTTCCTTTAAAAAAATGAGAATTTGTGACACTTAAATCATAGAATCAAAGAGTTGGAAGAGACCTCGTGGGCCATCCAATCCAACCCCTTGCCAAGAAGCAGGAATGTTGCATTCAAATCACCCCTGACAGATGGCCATCCACCCTCTGTTTAAAAGCTTCCAAAGAAGGAGCCTCCACCACACTCCGGGGCAGAGAGTTCCACTGCTGAACGGCTCTCACAGTCAGGAAGTTCTTCCTCGTGTTCAGATGGAATCTTCTCTCTTGTAGTTTGAAGCCATTGTTCCAGTTTTGTGTTCTGGGAAGAGCATGGCTTGCTATTTATTTTAGTTTCCTTTTCTTTTGTTAACACTACCTCTTGACAGTCAATCATTACCTCTCAGGATCTCAGCAGTCTCTTTTCACTTGATTTGTCGATAGAAAAGAGGGACATTTTTGCACTATAGTTCTAGTTTAACGTCTCTTTTTTAAAATGAAGAAAGTGAACAGAAGGGAATATATCTATAAAGAAGCCAACTGAAGAGTGAATATTAAATGTTGCAACATGTGCAAATACTTACTAGGAAATAATCCAGGACAACAGAAATGTTGCATGGATATTTTATAAACCTCGTTCCCCCATGACAGAAATAAACACTGCAATCTCAAGCTACATCAGCCACATCAGAAGGAACCCTTATCAGCTTCATCAGAAGGAACCCTTTAGTAGCACCCCCAAAAAAAGCAAAACTTTGCACGGCAAAACCATGCAACAGCTCTAAGGTGTCAAGCAGATGTCTAGGAATTAAGCCAGAAGGGGCTAATTCAACCAAAGCTAAACATTACTTATTCCAAGTGAAAAATTGAAGACAGACCAATTTCTACTTGCAGAGAGATTTTCAGAACACATCATGGAAATGGGAAGGAAGGACCCAGTGTGGTTCTACATAATGTTTACCGTCATAGGGTTTTGGCATGAAAATCCTATCATGGGATGCCATTAGTAAGTGAGCAAAAAAAGTCATTTATTTGGCTGCTTGAAGAAAGTGATTGCAAGGAACAACATATTGGCTCCCAAAATTCAATCAGAATCTCTTGTTTCATTGTGCAATTGCAGGCCAAATTTTCCAATAATCTTAGATTCTGCTCTGTTCTTGACCGTCCTGTTTTGGTATGTGGTCACTTTCTTCCTGGTCTACAACATAGAATCCCCATGCTAAGTCTATGTACGCTGTTTCTCGCAGCACTATGGTTTGCTTTTTGTGAGCTGCCCCAAATCCTTTTGGGGAGATGGTGGCAGCAGGCCTGTAGCTGAGGGGGAGGGGGTTGGGGGGGATTAGGGGTTTTAACTGGTTAACCAAATCCCCATGCTAAGTCTATGAGACACAAAAAGTTAAAAGTCCCTCCAGATCTGCAAGCACTATCTCAAGCAAATATTGACAATTTATTCACACTGTCATTACTTGCAGCAATAGCCGATGTAGCGAAGCAACCAAGTTGGGGGGGGGGGGGGTTGAATGCTCTCATTAAGGAGGCCAGACTTGGTGGAGGTGGTTGACAGGGGCGGAGCTGCAGGCTATTGAAGGCGGCTCTGCCCCCTGCTGTGCTCTTTGCTTCAGCCTGAGCTAGGAGGCAGGTTTCAACCCCCCCCCCTGAAATTTTCAAACCCCCCCCCCAAAATTTTCAAATACCCTCCCCCCCAAAATATTTTTCTGACTACGGCCCTGGGTGGCAGGGTATAAATAAAGTATTATTATCATCATTAATAGTATTATTAGTTTCTTCTTCTTCTGCCTCTGTCATTTGATTCATTATAGGTGATAATTCATGGCCAAGTATGATTGTCTTCCAAAGGTAGAGTTTTGGAGGAGGGTCCCTAAGTGACATGAAGACCTTTTTCTTAGAGGCATAGTTGGTGGCTCTTTGCCATGTTTGGAAGGTTTCCCTTTTCTTATCGATAATATGTTGGATCTCTTATCAAATCAATCTTGGTGGTTCTAAGTTTGGCATCCAATGGTTTGTTCACAGGCCTTCCTTTTATTCCAGTGTGCCTCAACATCCTTAGGCTGCTCCATGAGTAGATTATCTTTAAGTGTTGTTTGGAGAAGGGCTCACTTAGAGGGTCTCTTGAAGGGCTTGGGTGTTCATTTTATCTTTCTTCTTTAGAGTCTACATGTGGGAGTGATCTTCATGGCTATCATGGATCAAATTAATCAGTGGTCTGTCCAGAAGTTATCAGCAATGTTCCTGCTTCTTTGCAGGGGGTTGGACTGGATGGCCTATGAGGTCTCTTCCAACTATGATTCTATGATTCTACTTGTCATGGGCCTTGTGAGAAATACATCAGGGAATACATCAGGGCAGACTGAGTTTTCCTGAAATTTGTCAGACTTCGCATTGTATCCATTGGCTGCTTTTGCTACTGCTCTTTTTTTCTCTTAATCACATCAATTTCTTTTCACTGCTTAAATAAAATCTGTGTAATTGTTTGATTCAAAATGTCCCAATTTCTCAAGTATTGCAATGTTTATATGTTCAATTTCTTGTCTAGCTTCTCCTGATTCATGCTTCTCACATTCCATGTTCCTTTAATAGATTGGGTTTTCTTTTCACCTTTGATCATATCAAGAATTGAACATCCTTTTGGACTGAGTACTTGCAGTTGTCCTCTGCTCTGTCTCAGTAGCTCAATTAGGGTCATAGGACTTGGAGGTGCATCTTCTTGTCTCATTGTGGATGATCTCAAAATAGGGTTTTCATTGTAAAATACATTCAAAAGGAGGTTTATTGTACCATGTATAAAATATGTGAGAGAAAGCCACAGGGAGGAGGGAGCAAGCTTGTTTTCTGCTTCCCTGGAGACTAGGACATGGAACAATGGCTTCAAACTACAAGAGAGGAGATTCCATCTGAACATGAGAAAGACTGTGAGAGCTGTTCAGCAGTGGAACTCTCTGCCCCGGAGTGTGGTGGAGGCTCCTTCTTTGGAAGCTTTTAAACAGAGTCTGGATGGCCATCTGTCAGGGGTGATTTGAATGCAATATTCCTGCTTCTTGGCAGGGGGTTGGACTGGATGGCCCATGAGGTCTCTTCCAACTCTATGACTCTATGACTCCTTCTGTGCAGTACTAACATACTTTAGCTATGGTGTTACTGCTGTTGTCTCTTAGTCCCCATCTACACTGTCATATAAAATGCAGATTATCTGCTTTGAATTGGATTATATGGCAGTGTAGACTCAAATAATTCAGTTCAAAGCAGATAATCTGGTTTTTCTGCTTTGATCATCTGGATTATATGGCAGTTTAGATCCAGCCTAAGAAATCTTTAGCCTGTATCACCCCCACTACTGCTGCTGTCCAGTATCTCTTTGGCCCATTTTCTTTGACTCCTCAAGAAAAGCTTGTTTGACATGGGAAACCCCGCTGGCGTCACTGCTACCAGCAGCATAGCCTCTTGACTCACAGGACAATGCAAACCCATCACCATGGAAAACTAGTGCCATAATGAAAAGTTAATATTATGTTTTGTTTGTTTTTTTTTAATCCCCATAAGTTTTCGTTTTGACTATTAGTTACAGAGGATCAGGCAGGGAACGTTTTTGCACTGATCTTAGATCAAGCAGTGTGAGTTGAGGACCTTCAAGTCATTTTTTAGCTATAGTGACTCGAGTTTGAGGTTTTCTGGGACTGAGAGGGTGTCGCTGACTCCAGTGTATTTCTATGGCTGGGCAGGGTTTAAACTCTAGTTTCCAGAGTCATAGTGAAACATGAAAACCACTAAATAATCTTTTTTTTCTTTCCTCAGATTATAAAGCATTTGAAGAGGCAGCTGAACATTTCCAACCATATGTCAAGTTCTTTGCTACGTTTGATAAAGGGGTAAGCAAAAAGAACAGCAAGGACACACAACAGGGTTCCAAGCAACTCATACCGTTACTTAAGTTAGCCTATTGGACATAGTGAATAATTTAGACAGGTGAGTGGGTATGTACTACACAAGGAAGACATTAATATTAGTACAAATTCAGCATTAAATAGAATACAGTTTGTCCTGGTTGAGAATTATCTCTAAAAGGTTTAGAGATAAACTTATCTGTCTGAATGCATTTTCCTCTATTTTATTTATCTATTTATTTCCGGTATTTCTACCCCGTCTCTTCTCTACCCCCGAAGCGGGACTCAGGACAGCTTACATATGGCAACAATTCGATGTCATTACATATAAACAATTACAATAATACAACAATAATTAAAATGCTTAAAGCATTAATAAAAACAATACATCAAGCATTAATTAATCTAATAAAACAGTCTCATCAGCCGTGTCGCCATTCCATTCCAGTCAATGTCCGTCTAAAGTGCTAATTATGTCTACTGACCAAAAGCCTGGTCCCAAAAACATGATTTCAATTTCAAGCTAAAGCTTGTGCGCCAGCTGCGCCCGTACCCTGGGAAGTCTGACTTGGCCACGGTAGTCCACGCTCTGGTTACATCCCGTTTAGACTACTGCAATGCTCTCTACGTGGGGTTGCCTTTGAAGACAGCTCGGAAGCTCCAACTAGTCCAACGCTCGGCAGCCATGATTTTAACAGGAGCGGAGCGCAGGGAGCATACAACCCCCCTGTTGCGCCAACTCCACTGGCTACCGATCTGCTACCGGGCTGAATTCAAAGTGCTGGCGTTGGCCTTTAAAGCCCTAAATGGTTCCGGCCCAAGCTACCTATCTGACCGCATCTCTGCCTATGAACCCACCAGGAGTTTGAGATCTTCCGGGGAGACCCTGCTCTCGATCCCGCCTGCTTCTCAAGCTCGGCTGGCGGGACGAGAGATAGGGCCTTCTCGGTGGTGGCTCCTCGGCTGTGGAACGCCCTTCCTACGGACATTAGACTAGCACCATCTCTAATGGTATTCCGCAAAAAGGTGAAGACCTGGCTGTTTGAGCAGGCGTTCGAATAATTAGTGCAATGATTGGTTAATGAACACTGGAATGGAACAATGGATGACGAATCTGGAACATGTTTTTGATGACGAGACGACAGTGAATGGGTATTGTAGTAACTGTTTATTAATTGTGTAATGTGTTAGGTTGTTAACCGTTTCTATACTGTAGCACTGAATTTTTGCTGTTCGTATTTGTTGTGAACCGCTGTGAGTCGCCTTCGGGCTGAGAACAGCGGTATATAAGTAAGGTTAATAAATAAATAAATTTCTAGGAACCATCTCAGAGATTAAGATCTTCCGGGGAGGCCCTGCTCTCAGTCCCACCTCCTTTGCAGGTGTAGTTGGTGCAGACAAGAGAAAGGCTCTTCTCAGTGGTGGTCCCTCGGCTGTGGAACTCCCTCCCTAGTGATGTCAGATTAGCACCCTCCCTCCTGACCTTTAGGGGAAAAAATGAAAATTTGGATGTTGGACCAAGCGTTTGGATGAAGTGCAATATGTATACAATGATAACTGGAATGGCCTGGACTATGATACTGGATTATGTGATTTAATAATTTTAATGTTGATATACTTTTGTGGGTGTTTTAATGTATATGTTTTTATTTCCTGGGTATGTGTTTTATGTAATATATGGCATCGAATTGTGCCTTTGTGTGCTGCTCTGAATCCCATTCGGAGTTGAGAAGGGCGAGATATAAATGTGGGAAATAAATAAATAAATAAATAGTACTATAGTGCCCCAAGAAAAAATTCCTGGTGGTAAGAACTGTTGAACAGTGGAATATGCTGCTGCCTCAGAGTGTGGCGGAGTTTCTTTCACCGGAGGTTTTGATCCAGAGGATGGATAGGGTGCTTGGATTATATATTCCTCCATGGCATAAGGGGTTGGACCAGGTGGTTCTTGGGGTCTCTTCCAACTTTAGGATTCTAAGAAAGGAATTTATTGTTTGTCCATTGACAGCAATAACTGTTTGATTATAATGGTTATCTGTAAGCCTAAAGGACCAGGCGGATCAACTGTGGTGAGGAGCCAGGCACTCCTTTGGACACATCCAGACAGGTTTGGAATATGTCCCTCTTATTTAAACATGACATTGCTTACCATTAGATAGAGATATGTAGCATGAAAGTGGCAAATTTATGTACCATTTACATAGCAAAAAGAGACCAGAATTTTCCTTCCAGTCAAGTTCCCTGTGTTTTGGAGTAAAAATTTAAAAAGGAGGGAGTGGAAATTTTTATTATTTTTATCTGATATTGTTCTTAGATGAATTCTTTTATATAAACTTTTAAACTTTTTCCTTTATTAAAAAGTTACATAAAAGTAACTTATGATTCACATTTCACAATAACTGATTTGAGTTGCTCTGTAATTCTTTATTCATGAGAAATATTGTTTTTTTCATATAAAACTTGCCTGAGATTTAATAGCATCTTGGAGAGCCTTCTCTGAGTTCTCACACCTTCTGCAATGAGGTGTGGTAACCAGGGAAATGGAATTTTATGTCATACCATCCAAGTTTTACCTGGTGCAAATGTGATATCGGCGCCTTTTAATTTGTCTGTTTCCCCCTAATGCAAATTGTTTCATGTTTTGGTTCACTCCCACTCTTTAACATATTCATGTTATTGTTTATATTTTTAACTGTCACCTACTTGAAGATCTTCATATCGCATAAATATTCAAAATGAATAAATAAATCAAGCTTCTTATTGAAAAGAAATAATCATTTGAGGCTTAAAAATTTATTCAGCTCTGCCAGTTTCAATTTTGCATTTCATTTCAAAGAAGCTCGGCTCACATGATAATCTGTTGTTCATGCACAGACATCAGGTGAAAAAAACCTTTTCAGTACAGCATTACTCTATCTGATATACATATTGTGCATATTCTGAAATGCTGGGACCAGAAGCATTCCATAGTTTGGGTTTTTTTCCCCAGACTGTGAAATACTTGCATATACATAATGAAATATTTTGGAAATAAGATACAAATCTAAATATAGAATTCAGTTATTTCTCCTATACACCTTATACACATAGCTTGAAGGTAATTTTCTGCATGAAACATAGTGTACATTGAATTATCAGAAAGCAAAGATTTCATGTCCTTAGCCAGCAATGTAGACAGTTTTGGATTCTGGGGTGTTTCAAAATTCTGGACAAGGGATGCTCAACCTGTGAATGTTTTTTTTTCCCAGAGGTCTCAGTGGTTCAAGGTGAGCCATATTTTTAAGCAAAAGTAATGTCAAATGCTTTGATTGCTTGTAGGTGGCAAAGAAATTGGGTCTGAAGCAAAATGAGGTGGATTTCTATGAGCCATTTATGGATGACCCAGTCCATATCCCTGAAAAGCCGTACACAGAGGAAGAACTGGTTGAATTTGTGAACGAGCATAGAAGGTACAGAGAAAAACATTTGGAAACATGTATCCTATAGCTCAGGAAATTATTCTTGTAGTCCAAGTTCCTGGATTGTCTTTCTATTTGTTCTGCTCTGAAAATGGTAAAAGATTAATTCCATCTTGTTGGGTTTCATCCCTGGTCCGCACAAGTCTTTGTGTCATCAAGTTTCTATTTATTTATTAAGTACATTACTATACCGCCCCTCTCAGCCTTCCAGCAACTCGAGGCGGTTTACAAGGCAAGAATTCAATGCCACCAAGGACACAATTACAATATGGATTATAAAAACATCAGCAACAATAAAATCAAACATTATAATGAAACATACTTCAATCGATAATCATTCTCTCACACCAGAAACGACTTGCAGTTTCTCAAGCCGCTCCTGACACGACAAAAAACAAACAAACAAAAACCTCTTTGTGGGCAAAATGTAGTTGCATGGACTTTTTGTTATCCTTTATCTTATTTAGAAGATGAGACTTAGCAAGTTAGTTAACTCCAAGACTTTTCTATCTAGAATGTATTTCTTTTTACTTTAATAAATCTCTTGAAACTAAAGATTGTCTCTGCAATCCTCAGCCATCCTAAAGGTTAAATTGTTTTTTTTTTATTTTCATAATTGAGCTTTTAAAATTATAATCAAAGTGTGGGATTGTTAGCTGCCTTTAGTCCCATGCGGAGAAAGGCGGGCACAAATAAGGTTAATTATTATTAATAATAATAATAATAATAATACCATTTAAAATCCATGTTCGTGTAATATCTTTGTAATGACAATTTACAGCTCACTGAGAGATGTTTTTCATCAGTCCAGATGTTCTAAAAGCATATTGGTGGAAGCGGGAATGCTGGTTTTTACTTAAGTCTACATCAATTCAGTATTTATTTATTTATTTATTTATTTATTTGCAGCATTTATATGCTGCTGCCCTTCTCACCCCAAAGGGGACTCAGAGTGGCTTACAAGATATATTTTCATACAATATATTATATTATTAGCAAAGTACAATATCAGTATTATATATTACTATATTGCACTATACCATTATATTGTAATACTATTAGTAATATTACATGTAAGGTAAATATATAATTATAATTATAATATTGTATTATTATTACTAGTATTTTATTGTATTACATTATAATAGTACAAATATTATATGTATATACAATATACTATATTATATTATTAGTAAAGACAGTATGCACCCTACTCTGGTTTTTGTCACAATTTGGCCATCTTAAACATGTGCACATTTTTGTGGCTTAGAATTACATAATCACACCTTTGAACATGATCTTAACATCTCATGAATATGCATTTTTTTCTGACCTAGCATCACATATTTGGAAGGGACCAGAAGGACCACCTTGTCCTGCAGGACATAAGCATTCCTGAAACCTGCCTCTGTTTAAAGACCCTTTCAAAGACCTCCCAAGTGGATTTTGAGCCATTTATGGATGGTCACTCATAAGTCTGCTCAAAATAGACTCAACAATTCAAAATTTGATTCTATTGAGTAAGAATGTGGTATTGGAATCTATAGGTTTATTACATATTTGTACTGGGAATGTGAGAACTAGCATGATGTCATGGTCTGCATGTTGGACAAGGACTCTGGGAAGCCAGGGTTCAAATCCACATTGGCTTATCTTGGTAAAGGCCCATTCTTTCATCCTCAGAGGAAGGCAGTGACAAACCACCTATGAAAACATCTTGCTAAAAAAAACCCCACGATAGTTGAAATCAACATCAGGGCACACAACAGCAAAGGGAGAGCTGGACTATTAATGAGCAAAAATTAGTTCTCACAACTTTATGATCTATTTATACTATGTCCACTCCACCCCCTTAATATTGCAATAACGACATGAAATTCAATAAAACTTCCATCACACCCTTTGTGTCTCTGTGAAAACAAACCTTTTCATCAAAAGCAAGTAGCAAATACAGGGAAAGTTCTGCATCACAGACTGAGTTTGATCTTGAAAGGATCTTGTTCCCTCTCCTCCTCTCCTATTGTTGCTGTTCCAGTAAATGGATGATGATCCTCTGTGTCTGGAACTAAATATATGATGTTAGTTGAAGAATGGCCCTAAGGCTGAATGAATGGGTTGTTGTTACATTGAATATATTTCTGATCCACCAGTGGAAGATAGTGTCATCTGTGTTTACTTTTGCTGAAAACATTTTTACAGTCCTAATCCTATGAAATAAAGATTGTTTTGATGCAATTATTGTTATTTTTTTCCAGAGCCACACTCCGCAAGTTACGCCCAGAAGACATGTTTGAAACCTGGGTAAGTTTAAGAATCTTACAAAGTTCTATAATGGCCACAGCCATCATAGGTTCTCACTTGTGACCAAGTATGCTTGTTTTCCAAAAGCAGAGTCTTGGTAGAGGGTCCGTAAGTGACTGTAGAGACCTATTCTGGATCCACATGGTCTTTCACAATGAAGGCATAGATTTCCAGATGGAAGGCGACCTGACAAGGGTTTGCTTTTGCTTGGCGCTCCTTCCTCTCAGCAAGTTTCCCCCTTTTGCCCTCTTCAAAACCCATAGCACTGTTGGTAACAGCTGACCTCCAGTTAAAACGCTCAAGTGCCAGGGCCTCCCAATTCTCCTTGTTTATTCCACATTTTGTTTATGTTGGCTTTAAGCCCATCTTTACATTCCTTTTGCTATCCATCAACATTCTGTGTTTTGAACCCTGAACTGAGAATAAAGTAAATGCTCGGGTGATGGGGCATTTGAGCAACATGGCCAGTCTAGCAAAGTTGATGGTGAAGGATCACCACTTCAGTCTTTACTTATTCTAGAATTGTGACATTTGTTTGCCTGACTTCCCAAGAGATTTGCAATATTTTTAAAATAAAGATAACACTGATGGAATCTTTCCAGAAGTTGAGAGTGATGTTTGTAGATAGTCTGTATTCTGCAGGTGCACAATAAAGTTGGAAGGACAATAGCTTTATAAAAAAGCATCATTCTCAGAGAAGAAATAATGCAGCCTTCTCAATATTGTTGGGCAAGTTTCTCCCTTTTGCCCCAAAACTAAGTCCCGTGGGCTGTATGTATCCTTCCAAGGTTATTTACCAGGTCTTGTCCTAAACATTAGACTTATGATCTCCCTAAGTCTGAAATGACTTGAAGGCACACAATTAGCGGTTCTAATCCAGGGAGCTGGGTGAGCTCCCATCTATCAGCTCCAGCTCCCCATGTGGAGACATGAGAGAAGCCTCCCACAGAATGGTAAACATTCGGGTGTCCCCTGGGCAAGATCCTTGCAGATGGCCAATTCTCTCACACCAGAAGTGACTTGCAGTTTCTTAAGTAGCTCCTGACATGAAAAAAAGCCATCCTAATTAATTTGACTATCCCATCAGAGAAAAAGCAGGTCTACATTTCCCACTGAAATACTGGTAAGCTTATGTTAGTGAAAATTATTCTTCATTTTAAATATTGTATTGTTTTTCCTGTTTTTGTACCACAGGTAAGACATGTGCAGTGTGCATAGGAATTTGTTCATGTTTTTTAAAATTATAATCCTCCCCATCCTCCCACTGCAACAGTCTGGGGGACCGTGAACCAGCCTCTGCTTAAAATGTTTGAGGACCCCTGGGTTAGCAGATTCTCAAGAGCCCAAGCCATTATAGTACACATGAAAGAACACTACAGTCACACCATTCCCAATCCTTGTGGTTGGGCACTGACCCAACAAAACGCTGGGCTCCTCTTCAAACCCTTGTGTTATGCTCTGTAAATATTGAACTCTAATTTGCTAATCTATGGCTTGGCAAAGCTAAGGCTTTTCAGAAGGAAAGCGGGGGGGGGGGTCTATGCTTTTGAAAGAGACTTCACTGATGGTAGGGGGTGAGAAGTGGTGCTTTATAGGCAGGTAAGGAACTATAGTAGACAACTGGAATCTCTGGTGACAAAAATCCTGATAACAGAAATAAAAAAAATCCTTTGTTTCACACATTAGAATATTTTTGAGAATCAAACTAGATGAATCCAAGGGATGACTCCATATAAGGCTGATTTGAGCAACTTCCAAGGTTAAGGGACACACCAAGGACTTTCAAGAACAAATTTTTCTCTTATTTAAGTTGTATCTCTGCTGCAAATGCTGTCCCCCTTTCAAAATCTGATGCCAGAGAAAGCTTTGTTCTCACCATTCCTCCCCCCCCCCCCCCCCCCCCCAGCTGATGTTTTCCACTTATTCCTTTTAGCTCTTCATTTTATAGGGGTTCTGTCACTTGTGGACTCAGAGGGGAAAGAAATTAGCATTTAGATGGAGTTTTTTCCTCTTGCATTAATACCAATTGAAACTGAAAGCTTGGATTGGTGGAAGACAAGGAACATGAGGGTTTTTCCATGGTATAATTCCAAGATGACATTCATAGCAGGTGCACAATAAACAGCCTGACTGCCAAATAAGATGGCCTTTGCCAATACAATTTTTGCTCAGCCCAGCTTCCCAAGGCCTGGCTGCCACTTCTGTGACTTTTGGGAAGAAAATCCAACATTTTTTAACACCATCCTCTCTGAAGTCTCTTTTCCTATTGTTAGTTTGTATGGCCATTTCTACTTTGCAGCTAGCTGGCTGCTTCTGTGACTGAGCTTTGGAAACCTCCAGTTGAGGTCTTCCAACCATCTGTCACATAACAGATAATCTCCTGGGATAACTTCAGTCCCCTTGATTATCTTGAATGGGCCTATTGCCATAGTAGACTTGACTGACAATCAAAACCTTGACAAAACAAAGCTGGACACTTTGGAAAATCTGAATTTGGATCAAGACAGAGATACAGAATGAGAAGAGCATGTCTTTTAGCCTGCTAACTAGAAAATCCTCCAAGGCTAAGGATTGTGATTCCGTTATGCTACTGCTAGGAATGTCTACAAATAGGAATTATGCTAAAGGGACTATGTGCTTCCTTTTAAGTCAGGAGTTCACCTGTTGGCTCTCTCTGTGCCCACTCAGAGCTGTGCATTAGTGCCTGTGACCATAGATAGCATTAACTCTCCAAACATGGCAAATGCCAGGTCATGGCAAACATTCAGGTTTATACTAGAACCCAGAGTAAATTAATTGGTCCACTGAATAAGAGTTGACAACTGCTATTGATTTTGCTCGGTGTGACTCCCAAGGTGTTCTATTTGCCTGTTTGTAAGTAAACAGTCAAAGACTCAGGCAGCCTCTGACACTCTGTCACCAGGACACTCTATTCTGCCCTTGAACTAGAAAAGTGAAGTGTGCTTATGGTTGTACTTTGACATTGCTAACACTCACTGGGTAAAATTATTAAAGTTTGTTGGATCATAGCTTTTATTCATTGGAAAAAAGACTGCAGTTTTTCAGAGATTGTCAGCATGCTGCCTTGTTCTTCTAATTCTAGTGTTAGTTTAATTATGTTTATTAACTTTTATATGGGGTATGCTTTTTCAACATAATTCTAATGATTTTGTTGTTTGGCATAATTTACTCAGCCACCTATTCGCTCAGTGACTTTGGAAGATTTTTTGGAATACTTTGTTGACTGCAAAGGATCTACATTTGGGAGGAAAGCATCAGTGAAGACTGTGTGAAAGAGCAGAAGCCTTTATTCCCAAATATGAATCTGCCCATGGACCTCAAATATCTTGATATATATTGTTAGGCTTTGACAGTTTTTTTTTTATCAAGTCAGAAGCAACTTGAGAAACTGCAAGTTGCTTATGGCGTGAGAGAATTGGCAGTCTGGAGGGACGTTGATCACAGGACACTCAGATGTTTTACTATCCTGTGGGAGGCTTATCTCATGTCTCCACATGGAAAGCTGGAGCTGACAGACAGGAACTCACCCCATCTCATGGATTTGAACCTTCAGGTCAGGGGTTTAGCTGACATAAGGGTTTAACCCATTGAATTATTATCAAGCGATGATAATTCAACATCTGTATTTTAAATATCACCTCATGTGATCTGGTTTACCCTACAAATAATCCACCTTATTTGTTTATTTATTTATTTACTATATTTGTATACCGCTCTTCTCAGCCCTCGGGCGACTCAGAGCGGTTAACAACAGCAAAATTCAATGCTCACAAACATCATAAAATAGTTAAAACAACGAAAACAGTAGCATAATAAAGTCAAACTCAAGGGCTTTGATGCCCAAGGTGTCATTTCATCTCTCTTCCCACTTCAAGGACACAGTCCATGCTTCTCTCTTCCATATTGGTGGTCACATCAGTGGCATTTTCTTTTCTTGCCCACAGGAAGATGACATGGATGGGATTCATATTGTGACATTTGCTGAAGAAGATGACCCTGGTAAGCGATGCACTGGCCTTCTCTGGGCCTCTTAGCAATTTATTATTTCTTGAACACAAGAACATACCTAGGACAAGTTGAAATATGGAAACTGGTCTTAGTGTTAGTAGTCTTACTCCCTTAATATTTTTGCACCTTGAAAATAAAGTTTCAAAGGCATTCACAATGGAAATTTGTGCCAGATCGACTCCTGCTGTAGTGCAGTTTACACTTGGCCTGGGTTATTTTTCTTTTCACCCTGAGGAGAAAGAGGCAGCAATATAAGGTACTTTCCATTCTTCCAGCTACATGTGAATAACACAGTACAATATAAAGTAATTTATTTTAAAACATGGAGTAATTGATTGTTAAACGTGATTCCACTGGTAATCGCTTGTTCTGGCTCCCCTAAAAAACAAAAAACAAAAACAAAAAACACCATGATTCCACTGATCTGTTGTAGTGAGCCTGATCAACGTCATTTTGACAACAGTTGACATCTCATCCATGGCCTGTACTGTTTTGCTGAGTGAAATTATTTAAATGCCATATTATGTCTTCTTGGCCCCTCTCTTTACTCTGGTCCCAGAGCAGCAGTTGGTGTTGGGGGGAGGGGCTCCAAACTGATGATGCTGAAGACAAGATGGCACTGTCTTCTTGACCCCTCTCTTGCTGTCTATAGCAGGCTATATTTTAAACAGGTAAATAAACAACTGTTTCATGGGACTTCAGATTAAACTTATCTAAAATAAATTTCCTAGATTTTATGCCCAAACCTTTTAACCTTTCAGCTGCCTCATATTCTTCTCCCGTACCCAAGTTTTCAGCAAATATCTTACTTTTCTCCTTCCTCTCTTAGTATTTCCACAATCTTCCCCTGATGGCTTGAAAAGTGGAGAATGTCCTGTGATTGCTATAATGCATGCATTTAGTCTGGCTACATTTGCAATGAATCATCTACATATGTGGCCCATATCAATCTCCATCAGGGCGAAACCTTCACTAAAACCTCTTGTCCAGCTTCGGACTGAGAACACCAAGTAGTGATGGCTGGTTGCTTCCATGTCTGTGGGTTAGTGAATTTGTTCTGGGTTTTGGTCTGACATTTAAAATGGGTTATCCAAAATGCTAAACTAATTTAACATCTTAGATACCTCTGTTATGAAAACCCATAGCAAATTTGCCATCATACTAACATGGAAGCTACTAGACGTCCCTGAAGACAAGATAGATTAATGTGGTTCATTGGGTTTCTTCTTCTGAAAAGTCTTCATTTGTAGCTCAGTCTGGTGGTCCACTAGGTCAAAATCAAACTGCAGAAAATGGTGTAGCTCTTTCAAGAATTCTTTGTTTTCTCATATTCTAAGAGTATGTGCTTTGTATACTGTTAATCTTTTCAACTGCTGACATTGCTTTCTCTTGTCTCAAATTAAAAACTTCGGGCATTCTTCCTCTGGGATATACTTGCAAGAGGAACTGATACTATTATTTATCTTTTCAGATGGCTTTGAGTTTCTGGAGGTTGTTAAGCAGGTTGCCAAAGATAACACTGACAATCCAGATTTGAGCATTGTCTGGATTGACCCAGATGACTTTCCTCTGGTAAGTTGCCAGAAGATATAGGTAATTATAATTTACATAGGAGATGATACTCATATAAGACTTAGTTAGGCAATCCTTCGTAGTCCGAGGATGATGGTCTTTCAAGTGATGTGTCATGTCAGTGGATACGTAGGTGGCTATGGAGCCCTATTCTTGACCTGCATGTTCTCTTTCAGTGAAGACATTGGTTCCCAGGTGGAAGGTGGTCCCGGTCGGGGTTGGCTTGAGGTAGTATAAGAGTGGAAGTGTCCATAGTGTTGAAAATTTACCATTGTAAGCTTCAATGTTCTCTTACAAAAGTGATACTCGTAGAACTTGAAAATTGGTATCTGTGATGCATTTGATAAGAGCTACAGTTTATGCAACATTTCAAACTAATATTGCCACAAGTGCATCACCGTGAAAATTAATGTAAATGATATTTTCATTCTTTTTTGGACAGGTACACCATATAGATAGATGATAGATACAAGATAGATAGATAGATAGATAGATAGATAGATAGATAGATAGATAGATAGATAGATATGTGTATATATAGGCAAAAACAAAACAAAAAATTCTTTATTTGGCATTTTGAGGAAAGCTGTATATTTTGAGTTCGATGAAGTTTTGATAAGTGGTCCAAATGGCATGCTAATTAGTTTGCCCCACAACATTAAAATCTGTGGACCCATTGCTTGCAAAATTGTCTTGTGTGTATTTCCTTTTTATTTAACTCTTTCACTTCATGTGATAGATGACACAAAGTGAGGGAATGTGCATTAAGTAGCCCAATTCCCATAATTGTTTCTATCATTTTCTTGTGTGTGGGGTGGAGAGAGAAGATAGCATTCTGACTTGGAGAGCTTATGATATCTATGGAGGTTCCATGCAATCTGGAATCCATGGATCAACCTTCTCTTCCAGGTGAAAAAAAATGGTTTGGAGTTTGAAAAAATAATGATATGGTCCTTCTGTTCAAGGTCATTGTATGGGTGGGGGACCTTAAATTCAAGAAGAAATCAAAATCAATTTTTAGTTTTTAAATAAGGAAATCTTAAGAGGAGCTAGCAAGTGGGAACATGGTGGAAATCCAGTGCCAGTAGAAGTGCTGTCAAATAATAGCTGGCAGGAGGACTCTTTGGGGTTGTGGCTTTGTTTTTTTAAGACACTCAGGATCCTTCCACACTGCTATACAATCCGGATTATCAAAGCAAATAACCACATTATCTGCTTTGAACTGGATTATGAGTCTACACTGCCGTATAATCAGTTTAAAGCAGATAATCTGGATTTTATATGGCAGTGTAGAAGGGATTTCAGCCTCTAAAGGACTGTGAGCAAGAAAAATAAAAAGTGGGCATTCGGGCAGGTTTTTTTTAATGCTTGCCACTATATCTGCATGTTTTCCAGAACTGAGAATTTAAATACCTCACTACCTCTGAGGATGCTTGCCATAGATGCAGGCAAAATGCCAGGAGAGAATGCCTCTAGAACATGGCCATATAGCCCGAAAAAACCTACAACAACCCAATTTGAATAGAACTTGGACTTAAATGTAAACAGAGATTCTGGAACAGAGCTAGACTAGTCCACATTAGTTTCAGAGCATGTTTATTAGGGGAAAATGAGGAAAGGTAAGGAACAACTCCCATCTTACAATGAGGGGCACTACCCACAACAGGTAATTCTGACCCTGGAGAAATCCAGTTGCAGCACATTTGTGGTTTGGCACTGAGAGGACCCTTACCTAATTACTAGGGCCTTAAAAATGAAAATGTAACAAGAAAGAAAATGAATGTGGATTTTAAACTATGGCTGACTCTACACTGTAGAATGCAGTTTGACGCTACTTTAATGGCCATGGCTCACTGCTATGGAATCCAGGATTTGTAGCTTGCTAAGGCACCAATGCTCTTTGGTAGATTCACAAAATACACAAAATACACATCTCCCATGACTCCATAGCATTGAGTAACAGCAGCTATATTTTATCAGTTTTATACTTATTTATGCTTTTGACACGAAATAAATAAAAAAGCTAAATTACATTACCGTCACAGTGTAGAGACACCCCATCTATGAGGGGAATATATATTTTAATTCTGTTTTTAACTTTTTATTGCTTATAATGCTATGGATCATTTGTGGATTTTTTATTATTTGTTTTAGCTAATGGCCTCATCCTAATATGTATATTTTTAAATATCTCCTAATAAATAAAAAAAGTGGTAGAGAGAAAGACTGAAAGAGTGCAATGGAAATTTTAAAGCATGTTATGCTCCATAATAAGTCCTGGGCCTAACACAGTGTTTCTCAACCTGTGGGTCGGGACCCCTGGGGGGGTTGCGAGGGGGTGTCAGAGGGGTCGCCTAAGACCATCAGAAAACACAGTATTTTCTGTTGCTCATGGGAGTTCTGTGTGGAAAGTTTGGCCATGGGGGTTCTGTGTGGAAAGTTTGGTGCGGTTCATAATACTCTTTGATTGTAAGTGAACTATAAATGCCAGCAGCTACAACTCCCTAATGTCAAGTCTCATTTCCCCAAAGTCAACCAGTGTTCACATTTGGGCATATCGAGGATCTGTGCCAAATTTGGTCCAGATCCATCATTGTTTGAGTCCACAGTGCTCTCTAGATGTAGGTGAACTACAACTCCCAAAATCAAGGTCAATCCCCACCAAACTCTTCCAGTATTTTCTATTGATCGTGGGGGTTCTGTGTGCCAGGTTTGGTTCAATTCCATAGTTGGTGGAGTTCAGAATGCTTTTGATTGTAGGTGAACTATAAATCCCAGCAACTATAACTCCCAAATGATAAAATCAACCCCATCAGTATTCAAATTTGGGTATATTATGTATTTTTGCCAAATTTGCTCCAGTGAATGAAAACACATCCTGCATACTGGATATTTACATTCCTGTAACAAAGCGCGTATAATCAAGGAGGGAATTAAACTCAGGCCTCACTTATTGGAAAGAATATATTGTAGGGGAGGCCAATTATTTGTAAACTAGGGTAGCTGCCACCAATCGTGAGGTATATGGGTTATCAATGATAAGATTTGGCTTCACAGACGCAGACTGACTGTGATGAAACGGTCTTCAACAAAAGAGAACAAGTTTATTTTGTACAAAGCGTGTGGTTACGAGTTGTTGAATGACTTCTGGAACTTTAAGTAACACTTAGTTTGTAATACAGTTCACTCTTTCAAATGATACAACTTATAGCAACTGTTAGTGAAATGTAGCACTTTGCTGAGCAATGTTTCCTGAGGTGAATAGCTTTCTAATTTGATCTGTCCTTGATCAAACTACTGATCTCTAGTCTTCTCCCGACTAGCGATCTTAACTAGCTTTCTTTAGCCTTCCCTGACTAAAGAAACTATCTAGGTTTCTCCCTCCCGCCTTCCTAGGCTGGAAAACCTACTGCTATTCCCTCTCACTGCTCTTCCACTAAACTACTATCTCCGACGGCTGACTGAAACGACCTCCTAACTGGAACTGCTCACTCCGAGTTCCAAACCCTAACTGACTGCTTCTTTTCAAACGCAGATAGATTTCTCTCGCTAGGCTCCGCCCACTTTCCACTCTCTACTGCTAGCCTGCCTTGGTCTCCATGGCAACGCCACAATGGATACAACCAGTTATCTCTAGTTTTCAGTTACGGTTGCCAACCAAATAGTTAAACAGTTCAAATACATATACCTAGTTTCAATAACTTCCTTACAATTCCGATTCATAATAGGAGCAAAATTACAGTTATGAAGTAGCAACAAAATTGATGTTATGGTTGGGGGTCACCATAACATGAGGAACTGTATTAAGGGGTCGCGGCATTAGGAAGATTGAGAAACACTGGCCTAACATTACCTACCTCTCACATGGAAGGATAGAAGCAAATGTTTTTCCTTTTATCTTCCCCAGCCTATTCATCAGATCTATTTGTTTGTTTAATTTAGAATATGTAATACCTCACTGTTCATGGCATTAACATGAAATATTCGTATCAAGTTGGTTCAATGTTCTTTTGCTCCCACAGCTCATCTCATACTGGGAGAAGACCTTCAAAATTGACTTATTCAAGCCACAGATTGGAATAGTTAACGTCACAGATGCAAGTATCAACAACTTTAGGGAATAAGCAATTTAAGTATTTAAAAGGGGGGATAACTGAAACATAACCTCAAATAAATTAACAATGTAAAATTCAACTCAGTTAGTTGCATGATGTCAGTTCAATATCAGCAAATTCAAACATACTATTTGCATGTTTATTCTGCTGTGAATAATTTAAATGGTTTAGTCCAAAAAGCTCAAATGTTTTTCTGGCGGTTCAAATGACCTGACCAATATTGTGTTGAGTGATATTCACAGACCTTTCCCCAAAATTAGTCCTTTATTATATTTTGTTTACTATTTGAATGCAAACTTCTTTTAAAGAGTTGTTTCCACCGAGAGGATGGATGTGAGAAATACTTGATTTCCTGGAACAAGAAACACACTGAACCTTGCTATACTTGTTCAGCAGATGTCTCCCAAGTGCTCATAAGTGTCAGAAATTAACAAAGCACACACAACACATTTCCCAGTTCTTTAAGGAAATGGCATGTGCAAAGTGTTCCCTGATTTATGTTTTGTGTAGCATATACACACCTTGGATTGCTCAAGAAGTTGTCAGGAGCTGAAGGACTAAACTAGGTTTGGTCTCCTCAGAGGCGGCCCTAGGTAATTTTCAATGGTAAGCAAACAGTATTTTGGCGCCCACCCCCCCCCCCAAACCAATCACTCTCTCTCTCTCTCATATATATATGTAAGCTCACAGCAGCTGCTCCCAATAACGACACAGGACGCCAATCCGTAATCAATCAGGAACTTTTACTGCTGGACATTCATACACGAAGAAAGCCAGGATTGGCCGGCAGCTGCGGTTCAACCCTTATTAAATTCGCACTTTGGCAGCTTTGCAAACAGCTTTGCTTCCCTCAATTTCTGGAGCACCTCCCTCACCAACTGAATATGGGATTGCCTATCACGGCTGAATATTATTACGTCATCCACAAAACAGTACACTCCCCGGTACAGTAACGGGTGCAGCACCTATTTAATCATTTGCATAAATGCCCCTCCCGAGCCTTTTAACCCGAAGGGGCACACAGAATATTCAAAATGCCCCAGTGCACATGAGAAGGCCGTTTTCCATCTGTCCTCAGGCCGTATCCGCAACTTATGATAGGCCTCAATCAAGTCGATTTTTGTAAACACCCGTGCCTCTGACAGTCTCGACAGTAAGTCCTTGGTTAGAGGCAATGGGTAATTGTTGATCGTGCTCACTGCGTTCAGCCCCCTATAGTCCACACACAACCTCAACGAGCCGTCCTTTTTGTGCCTAAATAGCACTGGGGCCCCCAATGGGGATTCAGATGGTACTATGAACCCTCGGGCTAAGTTCTTATCAATGTACTTCCTCAGTTCCTCCATCTCCTTCGCCGACATGGGGTATAGCCTACTCCTAGGCAGCTTAGCATCTTTATTGAGTTCGATTTTCACCTCGACCCTTCTTGGGGGAGGAAGCTGATCTGCTTCCTTCTCATCAAACACATCCCCAAAGTCTCTATATTCGGGAAGGATCTCCTGCACCCCGTCTGTCATGCATCCCTCCCCCTTACAACACTCCCCCTTTTCTTCGTCTTGGAAGCTCAGGCTGCCCTTCCTCCAATTAATCTGTGGGTTTGCCTCCCTCAACCACGGCATCCCCAATATCACATTATAAGTTGCCATAGGGGATACCACAAATATTATGCCGCCTTCCCAATTCCCTATCTTGCACTGCACTTCCCCCACCTCGAATCACGCTGGGGCTCCAGCTGCCACCGATCCATCCAGCTGTGAAAATGCTATAGGGGCGGGCAAGATGGCTTTCTCACATTTCAGTTCGTCTGCCAATTCAGGGGTTATAATGTTTCTGGAGCAGCCACAATCCATGAGGGCTTTGCAACTGGCCCACTTCCCCTCCCCTTCTAGCCTTATCGGGAACACTAGCATTCCTGGGTTGTGACTCACCAGATCCCCCACTGGGGCCCTGTGAGGGAGGCTCTCTTCCGCTCTCTTCCCAGTGGCCAGTTTAAACCTTGTCTGAGGGGGATCCCCCCCTTTTCGCTGCCCACAATTTGCACCCCGATGCCCCAAACGGCTGCATACAAAACAGCCGCCTTTCTGCTCCTTGGGTCCTCCGGTTGGGCCTTTCCCGATCGTGCCTCTCTCCGTCCTCCGACTCTCCTCCCTGGCTCTCGTCTGCTGCGGTGCCACCCCTCGATGTCTCCTGACCTGGGCCAGGGTCGTCTCGATGCGGCCAGCCAGCTCAATCCATCCGCCTATCTCCTCCGGATCATTGCGATGAAGCGCCCAAGCTAAGATTTCCTTCCGCAGGCCTTCCATAAATATCTGGACCTTAGTGGTACCGGACCACTCAGGCACCTTTTCTGCCCGCAACTGGAATTCTTCCACGTATTCGGACACGGAACGCTGGCCTTGGGTTATTGTCTGCAACTTCTCTCTCGCTCGGACTCTCTCAAGCGGGTCCCTGAAGCGTGCTTCCATCGCTGCTAGGAATCGCCTCGTGGATCCCAAGCATGGGTCATGTCTGGCATGGAGCTGGACATACCACTCTGCCGCTCCTCTCCTCAGTGCTGCGCCCACTGCCCGCACTCTGCTCGCCTCCGATCTGAAGGTGAGTGCGTTGTCCTCTAAATAACCCTTCACCATGGTCAGGAAATAATCGAGGCTCCCGACTTCACCTCCAAATTCGACTCTCAGCTCCTCCCTTCTCTGGTGGGGGAGAAGGGGCTGCATCTCCCGGCTCTCTGCTCGCGGTGGCCCTCCCTGGAGCCCATGCTGCTCCGGGGGCAATCCGTATCGCCCTGTGCCGCGCCCGGCTCCGGCCGGGGGCACCAGAAGCGTCTGCTGGGACGTTAGTGTTAGGCCCCTCGGTTGTCTTTCCTCCTCATCACTCTCTGCCCCGGCTCTCCAACTCGCCTGCGTTTTGGGCCGAGCTCTGGGTCCCCGGTTGCTCCTCTCCCCTGCACTCCACACCGATTCCCCTCGGGGTTGTGGTTCCTCTATTAAGGGGGCCAGCCGCTCCATCACCCTCGACATCACTGCGAGGGTGGTTTCCATGGCTGCCACCTTTTCCTCCAGATATTCCATCCTCTGCGGGGAGGGGGAGTCTAGCCCACTGCTTTCTCTCGCTGCCGCCTCTGCCCCCTTCACTCGCCTCTGGGTCACCCCGTTGGGCCGGGCATAAGCAGTCGATGAAGCCAGGGCAGCCACTCTCTCCAGCTCCTCCTCCGCATTCTCGAAAGGGGAGTCTGGCTCTCCCTCTGCCGCTGGATTTTCCTCTTGTTCCATAAGGATACCTCACCGCAGCCGCGGGACGGTACCGGGGAATCCTGGCTTAATGTAAGCTCACAGCAGCCGCTCCCAATAACGACACAGGACGCCAATCCGTAATCAATCAGGAACTTTTACTGCTGGACATTCATACACGAAGAAAGCCAGGATTGGCCGGCAGCCGCGGTTCAACCCTTATATACCCTCCCTCACAATTGAATTCCCCTTTCCCGCCAACCGAGAGTCCCGCGCAATATTCCCCGCCAAATGCCAACTGCTTCCCCCCAAGGCCACCAGCTGCACATTCTTATCAGCATCACATGTCAGGATCCTGGTTTTTTGCGCCAAGACTCAAGGCCTGGAAACCGGTTCCTGACACACATATATATATATATATATATATATAGAGAGAGAGAGAGAGAGAGAGAGAGAGACCATAAAAACCGGGGTACTTAGGGCGCATTCCTTCCAAGCCAGGCCTCGCGATTCTCGCGTCTTCTCCTGCAAGACATTGTTGTCTCGCGAGAGAAGATGCAAGAATCGCAAGGCCTGGTTAGGAAGGAATGCGCCCTAAGCAGCGCTCCTTCCTAGCCAGGCCTCCCGAAAATCATGAAGCCTGGCTAGGAACGGCCTCGAGGCACTGATGAAAATAATCGGGTACAGAGTCTGGTCTGCCCTCCATCCTCAGCACCGGCTGAGTGTCATCAGCGTACTGGTAACACTGAGCAAGTAGTCGCATATAGATGTTAAACAACAGAGGGGAGAGAATGGCCCCCTGAGGAACCCCACAAGATAGAGGGGACCTCTCCAAGACCAGGCCTCCCCTCTCCACTCGCTGTCCATGGTTGTGAAGAAAGGAGGACAGCCAATTTAAAGCTGTCCCCCTGACTCCAACAGCAGCAAGGCAGTGGGTCAAAAGATTGTGGTCGACTGTGTCAAATGCTGCTGTGAGAACCAATAACACATGCAGTACCGACTCGCCCTGGTCAAGCTGGCATCGAAGGTGATCCATGATGGAGACCAGCACAGTCTCTGTCTCATGCCCCGCACGGAAGCCGGACTGGAAAGGCTCTAGTCCGGCTGTGTCGTCTAAGAATTTCTGCAACTGCTCCGCTGCTGCCCTCTCAATCACCTTGCCCAGGAACGAGAGGTTCGAAACTGGGCGGTAGCTGGAGGGAACCGAACAATCTAGATCTGGTTTCTTCAGCAGGGGAGAGACCACTGCCTCTTTTAAACCCTCTGGAAAAACTCCTTGCTCAAGGGAGCTGTTTATAATCTTCAACAGAGGGTCACGTAATCCCTCGAAGCAGGATTTCACCAACCAAGAGGGACACGGATCAAGGGAGCAAGTGGTCGGTCTAGCTGCAGCTATGAGCCTATCGACAGCCTCTGCGTCCAGCGGGATGAACCGGTCGAGGATGGGACCAGCAAGTGGCCACGGAGTCTCAAATTCTCTCACTGTATTAATTGTGGCGGGGAGGCCCCGGCCAAGTAGCGAGATCTTGTCTGCAAAATAGCTCTGAAAATTGTTCACATTAAACAACAATTGGGTAACATAATTCTCCTGCTCCCTTAGACTTAAAGGTTAATTATGGCAGTTTGTCTGTACTTCTAGTTGGCATGTGACCTTTCTTCCCAGATTTTTGTCTTTTTTTACTCTTTCTCCTCTCCCTCTCTCCTCCCATGGGGTGTCCGTCAACTCCTGCTGTCCATCTTCTGAACCTCTGCCAATATTGTCCTTCCTGTGGGCTTCCCATTAGCACTTGGTTGTATTCTACAAGAACAAGGGGAATTTCATGGGTTATTGCTATAATGGAGCAGGGTTCTTTGGATGCACTAAGTATGTTAAGTATGTAAGCAGGGTTCTAGGTATGTACAATTTTGTAGTCCCTAGGCACTCTTGCATTTGACTCCCCACCTTGCCCCAGTGTACTACTAGGGACAGACAGCTATCATTCCAAAAAATCAACCTCTATGAACCTCAAAACATGCATATCCATAAAACACTGGAAGTCAAAATATTTTGATTTTCAAAATTTTCTTCCAAATTCTTGTAATTTTTTTCTATCTAATTTTTGTAGACCCTAACATTTTCATAGATCCTAGACACTGTGCCTACTGTGCCTAATGGATAAGGCGGCTGTAGTTATGTAATTTTAGTTCCGTTTGCTTTACTTTTTTCAGTTCCAATTTCTGTTTTCTTTAGTTATTCACTTCTTTTCTGTATTGCTTTTTCTTTCAGGCTGACAGTGTCTGGATGGATATAAAAGATGATGATGACCTTCCCACAGCTGAGGAATTGGAGGACTGGATAGAAGATGTACTTTCTGGGAAAATAAACACTGAAGATGATGACGTTGATGAAGATGACAATGATGATGATGACGACGATGACGATGACGATGATGACAGTGATGACTAAGTTCCAGCTCTCTGAAATCTGGACATTAAAATCTTTATGCCTGATGATGTTGAGCATTACAGTTACCATATAATTTCAAAAAGTTGTTTCTAAGGGTTATTGAAGACCTGTGGCCTTGCTTCTTGTCTTGTCTATCCTCTCCCAGAATATTTCCTATTTGGCTTCATAAAGCTGTTAACCAGATGTAAGACATACAAAAATCAATAAATGTAATGAATGCTTAGCATCTCAGCTCTTTGCAAACCTCTCTCTTTCATTCTATTTATTGTTAAGATTAAGAGGAGGGAAATACAGAATTATGATAGTGTACACTTAGAAGGAGTTGAGTGTACACTGGCTTATCACAAAGACATTGGTATTTTCTGTGCTCATTGTCTTTTTTACAGTAGTTTTGTTCACGATAATAAGAAGTTCAGCCCTATGGAATAAGTACATTTAATTAGAATCATAGAATCATAGAGTTGGAAGAGACCTCATGGGCCATCCAGTCCAACCCCCTGACAAGAAGCAGGAATATTGCATTCAAAGCACCCCTGACAGATGGCCATCCAGCCTCTGTTTAAAAGCTTCCAAAGAAGGAGCCTCCACCACTCTCCGGGGCAGAAAGGTCCACTCCTGAATGGCTCCCACAGTCAGGAAGTTTTTCCTCATGTTCAGATGGAATTTCCTTTCTTGTAATTTGAAGACATCCTAGTCTCCAGGGCAGGAGAAAACAAGCTTGCTCCCTCCTCCCTATGATTTCATCTCACATATTTATACATGGCTATCATGTCTCCTCTCAGCCTTCTCTTCTTCAGGCTAAACGTGCCCAGCTCTTTAGGCTGCTCCTCATAGGGCCTTGTTCTCCAGACCCTTGATCATTTTAATCACCCTCCTCTGGAAAGTTCCAGCTTGTCAATATCTCCCTTCAATTGTGGTGCCCAGAATTGGATACAACATTCCAGGTGTGATCAAACCAAGGCAGAATAGAGGGGTAGCATGACTTCCCTGGATCTAGACACTAGACTCCTATTGATGCAGGCCAAAATCCCATTGGCTTTTTTTGCCGCTGCATCAAATTGTTGGCTCATGTTTAAATTGTTGTCCACAAGGACCCCAAGATCTTTTTCACACGCATTGCTCTCGAGCCTGGCGTCCCCCATTCTGTATCTTTGCATTTCATTTTTTTTTTTGCCTAAGTGGAGTATCTTGCATTTATCCCTGTTGAACTTCATTTTGTTAGTTTTGGCCCATCTCTCTAATCTGTCAAGATCGTTTTGAATCCTGCTCCTGTCCTCTGGAGTATTGGCTATTCCAATTTGGTGTCATCTGCAAACTTGATGATCATGCCTTCTAACCCTTCATCTAAGTCATTAATAAAGATGTTGAACAGGACCTGTGGCACTCCACTCATCACTTCTTTCCAGGAGGAAGAGGAAGCATTGGGGAGAATCACCCTCTGGGTTTGTCCGCTTAACCAATTACAGATCCATCTCACCGTAGTTTTGCCTAGCCCACATTGGACTCGTTTGTTTGCCAGAAGGTCATGAGGGACCTTGTTGAAGGCCTTATTGAAATCCAGGTATGCTACATCCATGGCATTCCCCGCATCTACCCAGCTTGTAACTCTATCGGGGAAAAAAGAACAGATTAGTCTAGCATGACTTGTTTTTGATAAATCCATGTTGACTATTAGCAATGACCACATTCATTTCTAAGTGCCCAAATTGGCCTGAGAAGACTGCTCTCTAAGCTTGTTATAAAGAATAGCTGAACATCAACTATAATAAAACAAAGGTAATGGTGTTTGGAAGAAGACACTCTAAACACAGCTGGTCCATCAGGGGTCACCAAATAGAACAATGTCAGGAATTTAAGTACCTTGGAATCCATTTCATGGAAGAACTATCCTGGAAACCCCATATAGAACACACTAAAGCAGTAGCTTTGAAATCTGCTGGAGCAATACTCAGATTCTACAACACTGCAGGGGGTCATCTAGTTGTCCCAGCCCTTAAAATATTTCAGAGTAAAGTTATAGCCCAGATTTTGTATGGTGCTTCTGTCTGGGGATGGGATGAGTCTCAGACAGCAAAACTGGAGGCTCTCCAGAATACATTTCTTAAGAAACTACTGAGACTCCCACCGGGCACCCCAGCAGCCTTGGTCCGGGCAGAGGTTGGTCTCCCCTCCATTAGATCACATGTTCATTTTACCCTATTTGATTATTGGAGAAATGTAAGACTCCTCAGTTAGGGTTCTTCCCAAGGGCTGTTTTGAACAGCTAGAAAAATGCAAAGTCTGGAATACTAGATACCAGAAGCTGCTGGAATCTCATTCTGCTCTGTCTGATAAGCCTTCTATCTTGAACTCAAGGGAGAAGCTCCATGAATATATTTTTAATAATTGTGCCCACCATGATAGGCAGGCCATTAACATTTCTAAGTGTTTGCAGACCACTTCCTTAACAATCTTTTCCAGAATCTTGCCTGGTATCGATGTGAGGCTGACCAGGTGGTAATTGTTTAGGTCATCCTTTTTTCCCTTCTTTGAAGATTGGGACCACATTGGCCCTCCTCCAGTCTGCTGGAACCTCTTGCATTCTCCAAGCACTCTCAAAGATGATTGCCAATGGTTCCGAGAAGACTTCCGTTAGTTCCTTCAATACTGTTGGGTGTAGTTGATCAGGCCCCGGGGACTTGAACTCGTTTAGAGCAGCCAGGTATTTCTGGACTTGTTTCCCAAACAGCTCTCTCTCCCTCACCTAAGTAAGTGTTGTAAGGATCATATTCTTCTTTTCTTTCTTTCTTCTTGTTTTTCCCAGGCACTCTTTGGCTGATGTAAAGGATATGCTCTTATCCCAGCCGAGAGTAGGCTTCCTAATGTGCAAGTGTCATTCCACACAGGTGGTAACATCTTTCCTGCCCAACTGCCACAAATTCAAAACAGTCCCGGGAGCAATCCTCCCATCCTAGTTGGGCTATGTAAGGTACTAGATTCATATACCTTCCATAAGGTTTGTTTAGTCAACAAATTATTATATAAACAAATTACTCCTCCCCTCATTACACTTTAAAGGTGAGGGGAGATTTAAATTTTCAGTTTGATTATCACATAGAATCTTATTGTCAGTGGTCAGTGTCTTCTGTCAAGGGAGAAGGTCATAGTTTGATCACAGGTGAGGTAATGTCCTAAATGAATGCATATTCCTGATTGTATCTTTGTCTGACCTTGTGTGGATTCCCATTTGCTATCATTGTTTCGGTGGATACATAGTGGAGCTATTGGAGTTGGCTTTCTTAAAGTTAAAGTGGCCTGGCTTTTATCCTTTGTTCAGTTGGAATGGTATGGCCACACCTTTGTGAGTTTCCATCCTGACCAACTGAAGAGGGGCCAGGGATTATTGGCCACCCCTGTGAATGGGTAGAAGGCCTATGGGAACATACCCAACAAGCCTCACTCTTGATCACATAAGTCTCCAGACTCTGGGCCTTTTTGGACTGCAGCCGAAGTGGATCTCCCTTGACAGAAGATACTGACCACTCTGGTGGTGCTTGCTTGACTGGTATAATGTATCCTAGCTCAAACTCCGTCCACTTTTACCACTGTTGGGGTGGTCAACAGGACTGAATATGGACCTTTCCACCTAGGACCCAATGGCTCCAATCGATAGTCCTTCAGCAGCACCGAGTTACCTGGAGAAAAGGATGTAAGGCAGTAACAAGGAAAGGCGGCCTCAAGTCTGCAGTGTACTTTGTCAATGCATTTAAAGTTGTTCCTAAGAGCTGAACCTCTTTGACTAGGCCTTGCCTCCCTAATTCTAGTGCATCTCCTTTCAGGTGTCTCAGTACTAAAGGTGGTCTCCCAAACATGAGTTCATATGGGAACAATCCTAGAAACCTAGTCGGTTTGACTTGCATAACTATAGGTGGGATGTTTTGAACCAGTCCTGGAGAGTTGTCTTCTGCCGATATCCCTGGCACATCATATTTCTTCCAGTCCTCTGATTCTGTCTGGGCTGCCATGAAAATTCTCCATTCTTCCTGCAGAGGGCAAATAAGTTGTACTTGCCGTAGTCTGGTCCCCATTTGCATGATTTCATCATTATCGAAAGCCAATACTGCTCTCAATTTACACAATAAGTCTCTTTCTAATAGTGCAGGGGTCCTCAAACTAAGGCCCGGGGGCCGGATGCGGCCCTCCAAGGTCATTTACCCGGCCCTCGCTCAGGGTGAAACTAAGTCTGAAATGACTTGAAAGCACACAACAACAATCCTATCTCATCAGCCAAAAGCAGGCCCACATTTCCCACTGAAATACTAATAAGTTTATATTTGTTAAAATTGTTCATCACTTTAATTATTGTATTGTTTAAGTGTTTTTTGCACTACAAATAAGATATGTGCAGTGTGCATAGGAATTCATTCATATTTTTTTCTTCAAATTATAATCCGGCCCTCCAACAGTTTGAGGGACTATGACCTGTCCCTCTGTTTAAAAAGTTTGAGGACCCCTGTAATAGTGGAATGGGACACTCAGGCATATATAAGAACCGATGAGTCACAAGGTGTTTGGCCAAATTACACTCTCTTGCTTGCAGCAGTGGACAGCTCTTCCGATGACCTGAGGTAGTTATGACATTCACACACTGGTTTGTAGTTGGGGCTACAGGGGTGCGGACAACTTGGAATGGTATCGACTTACCCCCTACATCCATAAAGACCCTTGGATCCCCAGATGTTGTAATAGTGGGGGTCTTAGTTGCGAATGGGGAAGCTGGTCTGTCCTTAGTCCCCATCTTCCATGCATGCAATTCCATAGTAAGCATCCATGTTCGCTTCTGGATTAGGCTGATACTGGTAGATTGGTCCTCCTGGTGCTGAAGGAAAAGTAAGAACTTCCTCTGGTTCTTCCTCCTGTGGTTCCTCTCCATGCACTTCGGTTTTCTCTGTCATTCCAATTTCTGTTCTCCTTTGCATGCAGACATTCTGACTTTTTCTTTCAATTTTCCTCAGCATTATTATCTTCTCCAAGCTTTTCTGTCTTCTCATGTCGCCAATGTACTTCATCTTTGCCTCTAATATCCTTCCCTCCAGTGAGCAGTCGGGCGTTGTTTCCTGGAGTATGGGCTGATTTGATCCTCTCGTGATCCAAGGCAGAATTTTCCTCCAACACCACAGTTCAAAAGTGTCTTTCTTTCTTCACTCAGCCTTCCAGCTCTCGCATCCATAGGTTACTACAGGGAATAAAACTGCTTTAACTAT